TTTTTATTGATTTCAGAGAGGGAGATAGAAACATCAACAATGAGATGGAATCACTGATTGGCTGCTTCCTGCACACTCCCTACTGGGGATCGAACCCGGGACCCTTCAGTCCGCAGGCCGAGGCTCTATCCACCGAGCTGCACTGGCCAGGGCTCCCGTGTGCTGTGGATCTCAGGAGCCCGATGTCCACTTTCCCTGCGTGAGTCAGCTCCTCGTTTATGGTTACAAACAAGAACAGGGCCTGCCCTTCGGAGCGGCACTAACAGGAAGGGCTTCCCCCTTTGCACAGGACGGCTCATCAGGGAGATCATTCAAGGCTTCATGGTCGCAAGTGATGGAGCCCAACTGGAATCCGGATCCAACCTGCAACCTGCCCGCCAGGTGACGACGCTGAAGGTAAACATGGCCCCACCCTTTCTACAAAGAGGAGGAAAGCTAGGGAGTGCCTGCCTCCAGCATCTGTACAGAGTGGGCGTCAGGGGGTCCTGTGGTCTGAGGACTACGGACCAGGCAGGACACCAGGCAACTGGTCCTGGCTTAGGGCGAACGGCACCTGAGGACAAATCTCCACTTTCCTGAGCGATTCCCCGTGAGGGATTACACAGGGGTCACTGAACCCCTTAATCAAGAGTTATTTCCAGCTCTAAACGGTGTGGCTCAGTGGCTAGAGCGTCGGCCTGTGGACTGAAGGGTCCCAGGTTCGATTCCAGTCAAGGCCATGTACCTTGGTTGCGGGCACATCCCCAGTAGGCGTGCAGGAGGCAGCTGATCGATGTTTCTCTCTAGTCGGTGTTTCTAACTCTCTATCCCTCTCCCTTCCTCTCTGTAAAAAATCCCCAGGCCGATGCTCTATCCACTGAGCCAAACCGGCTAGGGCCAAAATCAAATTTTTTAAGAAAGTTGTTTCCCACTAACCCGCCGCCTTGGAAGGTAAGGCCGTTCACTCGGCGGTCAGAACCGGGTTTGGGGTCACAATGCCTCCCACACCTGTGAGCACCGCCCCTCCCTGGGGCTGGGGACCCGCCGCGGGCAGGACGGTGGACAGTCTCACCGAGCACCGAGCACCGCCCGTGTGACCATCAACAGCGGTCACTCCGCCGGTCACTCCAACAGCGCACAGTAGGTCTCCCTCCCGCTCCGCTCCCTTCCCAGGCGGAGGGAGGAGGAGGGGGGGGTACCGTCTGCACCGGAGGTCGCGGTCCCGCAGCCGGCCCCTGGGGT